GGGCCACAAAACTGAAAGTTAATGGGCCACAAAACGGAAAGTTAATGGGCCACAAAACTGAAAGTTAAAGGGCCACAAAACTGTAAGTTAATGGACCACAAAACGGAAAGTTATTGGGCCACAAAACTGAAAGTTAATTGGCCACAAAACTGAAAGTTAATGGGCCACAAAACGGAAAGTTAATGGACTACAAAACTGAAAGTTAATGGGCCACAAAACGGAAAGTTAATGGGCCACAAAGTTGAAAGGTAATGGGCCACAAAACGAAAAGTTAATGGGCTACAAAACTAAAAGTTAATGGGCCACAAAACTGAAAGTTAAAGGGCCACAAAACTGTAAGTTAATCGGCCACAAAACTGAAAGTTAATGGGCCACAAAACGGAAAGTTAATGGGCCACAAAACTAAAAGTTAAAGGGCCACAAAACTGTAAGTTAATGGACCACAAAACGGAAAGTTATTGGGCCACAAAACTGAAAGTTAATCGGCCACAAAACTGAAAGTTAATGGGCCACAAAACGGAAAGTTAATGGGCTACAAAACTGAAAGTTAATGGGCCACAAAACGGAAAGTTGATGGGCCACAAAACTGAAAGTTAATGGGCGACAAAACTGAAAGTTATTGGGCCACAAAACTGAAAGTTATTGGGCCACAAAACGGAAAGTTATTGGGCCACAAAACGGAAAATTAATGGTACACAAAACTGAAAGTTATTGGGCCACAAAACGGAAAGTTAATGGGCCACAAAACGGAAAGTTAATGGGCCACAAAACTGAAAGTTATTGGGCCACAAAACTGAAAGTTAATGGGCCACAAAACGGAAAGTTAATGGGCCACAAAACTGAAAGGTAATGGACCACAAAACGGAAAGTTAATGGGCCACAAAACAGAAAGTTATTGGGCCACAAAACGAAAAGTTAATGGGCCACAAAACGGAAAGTTAATAGGCCACAAAACGGAATATAAAATGGCCCACAAAACTGAAAGTTAATGGGACACAAAACTGAAAGTTAATGGGCCACAAAACGGAAAGTTAATGGGCCACAAACTGAAAGTTAATGGGCAACAAAACTGAAAGTTAATGTACAACAAAACTGAAAGTTAATGGGCCACAAAACTGAAAGTTAATGGGCCACAAAACTGAAAGTTAATGTGCCACAAAACTAAAAGTTAATGGGCCACAAAACTGAAAGTTGATGGGCCACAAAACGGAAAGTTAATGGGCCACAAAACGGAAAGTTAATGGACCATAAAACGGAAAGTTAATGGGCCACAAAACGGAAAGTTAATGGGCCACAAAACGAGAAATTAATGGGCCACAAAACGGGAAGTTAATGGGCCACAAAACTGAAAGTTAATGGGCCACAAAACGGAAAGTTAATGGGCCACAAAACTGAAAGTTAAAGGGCCACAAAACTGTAAGTTAATGGACCACAAAACGGAAAGTTATTGGGCCACAAAACTGAAAGTTAATTGGCCACAAAACTAAAAGTTAATGGGCCACAAAACGGAAAGTTAATGGACTACAAAACTGAAAGTTAATGGGCCACAAAACGGAAAGTTAATGGGCCACAAAGTTGAAAGTTAATGGGCCACAAAACGAAAAGTTAATGGGCTACAAAACTAAAAGTTAATGGGCCACAAAACTGAAAGTTAAAGGGCCACAAAACTGTAAGTTAATCGGCCACAAAACTGAAAGTTAATGGGCCACAAAACGGAAAGTTAATGGGCCACAAAACTGAAAGTTAAAGGGCCACAAAACTGTAAGTTAATGGACCACAAAACGGAAAGTTATTGGGCCACAAAACTGAAAGTTAATCGGCCACAAAACTGAAAGTTAATGGGCCACAAAACGGAAAGTTAATGGGCTACAAAACTGAAAGTTAATGGGCTACAAAACTGAAAGTTAATGGGCCACAAAACGGAAAGTTGATGGGCCACAAAACTGAAAGTTATTGGGCCACAAAACTGAAAGTTATTGGGCCACAAAACGGAAAGTTAATGGGCCACAAAACGGAAAATTAATGGTACACTAAACTGAAAGTTATTGGGCCACGAAACTGAAAGTTAATGGGCCACAAAACTGAAAGTTAATGAGCCACAAAACTGAAAGTTAATGGGCCACAAAACTGAAAGTTCTTGGGCCACGAAAATGAAAGTTAATTGGCCACAAAACTGAAAGTTAATGGGCCACAAAACGGACAAATGCTATAGGACGTGACACTATAGGAGGATCCATTGAAGATTGAATAAATGAAGTAGTTTTTATACAAGGCAGGGATGAATTATGAGTTCCAAAATGGACGAAGGGAGGTACTCAAGAAAAGGTTGGGAACCACTGAGGTAGAAAATAGAACCACCTGAGCTGGACGGATCTCTATGATACGAGTTGGAACAATTAATAATCTTGAATAGTAATACTTTTATCAACTTCCAATATTAAGTTTACCTTCAAACAGGAATCTTCTAAATTTGACTTCAGGATATGAACCAATTCAGCATTGAGATTGCAGTTGATTAGACAAACCCAGGTTAGGTGGTTGCAGCGTCGTATATCTGATGACATTACATGCATCCCTGCTGTAGTGAAGGGTTCCTCCTCAAAATAAATGTCCCTGATGCAGGATTGAATAAGATCGGTGTCGTTAGCTTCATATAATGTTCCAAACAGCTCGAACTTCTGATATGATTCTATTCTTTCATGTGACTGAGATGCAAGAAATTCTCTCAAAATTTTTTTCTTCTCATCTTGTCTGGCATCTGGTAAGTAAAAATATTTTTAGTTTGAGAAAGGCTAATATGATCTTTAAGCTGATGTAAAAAATGGGAGTTTGAATTCTGTGGGACTTATTTGGGGCAAACGGAATACTAAGTGTGCCATAGTTGTAGTACAAATTGCATACCTACAGGCCTGATTCTCCGCCAGTTCAATACACAATAATTGGTATCCCTAAAGTATGTGAACTAAGATGGCGGACACCGGAACGCAGTATGTGTACCAGGTTAGGGTTAGGCCATAATTAGAGGTACAAATACTAGTGAAGTCACTTGACTAGTCCTCGAACTCGTAATAGAACTAAAATTGGATGATAATTATGGCCTAACCCTAACTTGGTACACATACTACGTTCCGGTGTCCGCCATCTTAGTTCACGTGCTTTGGGATTATCCAATAAATCAGTCTTGTCTACTTTTTTCAAAGTCTAGATGTCGAACAAATCCAAACATGGTATGAAAGACATAACCAGGCGCGCAGCCAGGATTTAAAAAAAAGGGGGGGGGGCTCAAAATCAGAAATTACTAATGCCGTCTGTAACAGTCACCGCGATCATGCGCTCGTTAATAGAGCCGCCTTTTCAGCTTCTGTCGCGTAAAATATTCAATTCATGACAACTACGAGATTCTAAAATGTCCTTACGTATATATTAATTTTATTGTCCCCAACGCAACTCGCGGTCTCGACTTTCTACGTCAAAATAAAAACATTACTGCAACGGACATAAAACAATGAGATAAGCTGCCTGATATATTTAATTTTGATACGTATTTTTGCAATCTTGTGACCTCGTTATCGCCGTTAGTAAAATCTCGATATCTGATATAAAATCACGTTTAGTACAATTTTACTTCATACAATGAAAATACTAATCAAATATAAAGTATAACAGTAAATAAAAAATACAAATTCACCGCCTCGAAATCCACGCCGAACAGTCGCCGCGATTACGTCACTTGTTAGAAGAGCCGACTTTTCTAACGAAAAATGATTTTTCTCTTGCGCAAGGTAACCTATCCATGACCGATAAGTGCATATTTAAAATGTCCTGATTTATTAATTTAATTGTCTTCAATTTATCCTGCGGTTGCGCCGACAAAACAAGAGCCACTCTAAAACACCACGGAATTCCGCATAAGAATGTGTGGTAAACTGCCGTATTATATATTGTTTTGATCCGTATTTTTTCTATTTTGCAAATTCGACAAATTTGAGATGTGCTTGTAACATTGACTCCGTTCAATCGCAATGCTGCCATTCCATTATTTTCAAAGATAAAAGCTTTCGAAAAATCCGTAAATCTATTGTAAATTCTCATGGAGTAAAATTTATTTCAGTAGAATAAAAAATGATGGATATACTTCAGATTGATTATCTTATATATCATCACTAACAGGGAAAAAAATCGCGTTTTCAACCTTGTTTAATGATAACACTGAAAATTTTCTACGACAATTGTAAAGTAATGGATCCCACCCACAATTAACCGTGTTTCGATTTTAATGGTGATATGTTCCTAAACAGCGAGGAAACATAATGTGTGCCGTGGGCACACGAAATTTTGCGAATTTTAAAAGCGTTTTTAGACTAGAAAAGCGTTTTTAGACTGTCGCGGGACTCAACTAATCTTATAGCCTATTGTGTACGGTTTTGTTATCAGTATTTTGTATTGTCGATTTTCAGTCAAATTTAGATCGCGGGTTTACTCCTTCATTTGTGTTTAGAACCTCGCCGCCGATGAACGCATAATAACTCTCACCGAATTCACAATTCCTTGCAAAGTACAAAAAAAAATAATCATCATGTTTATCGTGGCACAAATTTGTGATTTAGAGAGAATAAATACCGACGTAAAGGCGTTTACGGCCTAAATAACACACTGATGAAAACAATCGGCGATTTTAGCAGAAGGCAATTGCACGCTTTTTCAGTTTTCACAATTCCGTGCAAAGTAGAAAAAAGTACAAAAATAAAATAATTATAATTGTTCCCGTGGCACAAATTTGTGATTTAGAGAGAATAAATACCAACGAGAAGGCGATTACGGCCTAAATAACACGCCTGCTTGATGAAAACATACGGCGATTTTAGCAGAAAGCAATTGCACGCGTTATCGGCGACTTTTTCTGTTTTCAAAAAAATCCAAAAGGGGGGGGTTCGACCCCGGAACCCCCCCCCCCCCCCCCCCTGGCTGCGCCACTGGACATAACAATGCATTTAACTTACCAGGAGAAAAGTTTGTTATGAGACTACTTTCAATATCAGGATTCAGAATAATTCCACCCAATAGATGGCGAACAACTGCCCAATGATCATCTCGGAACTCAGTTTCGATGAATGTGCGAAACGTAGTAAAATCCATGTTTGAAATATAGAGAGCGGATAAAACTTCTTGAAGGACTTGATGGCTGAAGAACATCAGATGGTCTCCCTCCATGAGATGTTGGTTGAACATGTTTTTCCCAGGTACCTTGATGATAATGTCACGAACTTTATCGGATTGAAGTTGAAATTTTGTGAGATCATTAGTCGTGAAAATGACTCGTTTCTTTTTTGTGCCTTCGAAGGACATTTCCATCAAGTTTGGAAGTATTTCTTCAATCCGTTTCCTTTCATGTGTGTGATCGGATCGCATGAAGATGTGAAGGATTCGTAGCATTACCTCTGTCATAGTACCTGGTAGTTTCTCTGGGTTGAACTTGCAGACAATTGCATTGAATATTAGGAAAAGTGGAACAGATGATAATGGAATGAGTGCGGGTGACTGTCTTGTTAATTTTTCCCAAGCTTTTTCACCGTCGTCCCCGACAACTGCAATGAACAACCTCTCGATTTCGTCTCGAGTGAAACCAGCAAGGGCAGTTATGAATTGAGGCCTCAATTCTAAAGGAAGGGGTGCTATTCTGTGCTCACGGGAAGAAATCACGATCGTCAGTCTGGGAAAGAGATTGCCTGTTATGAGATTCCACATGATTGTTGCTGTGCTCGATTTATCGGTATACTTCATCTTATTGTACTTTCCAAGGAGATTCCAAGTTGCCTGATCCAGGCCGTCAAGGAAAAGAATACACATTGATTGATTTTCTTGCAGCCATTCGTAACCTTCTCCCACATCTTGTGTTGCGAGTCCAAAAGCTGTTTTCCCAAAAAGTAATTCGCATGGACTTATGGCTTCTTCTGCTTTGTTTCCTTGTAAAAACGGGATATCTTTGATATTCAAGTGATGAATAAATTTGAAGCGACGTCCTGTACTACCGAATAGCCGAATCCTTAATCCTTCACTTATTTGAGCTTGTTCGACTAATTTGTTGGCAACTATAAGACTTCGAGCAAGACGTTTCATGATTGTCGACTTCCCACTGCCCGCATGCCCCAGTATGACAATGTATCTGTATTCTTTGTTGCTCAAATATTCCACAAACACATCCAGAGAAATAGGTTCACCAATATCACTTTTTTTAACAGTAAATTCTGTCTCAATTTTATATTCCGTAACTTTGGGGGCCATTTCTCCACGGTAGAAGTCTGGTACTTTTCTTATTTGAGGATTCACCTCGAAGTCTGGTTCATTCAGTTTTGCTTCTTTGTAATTTTCTGTGATGTTAACTTTGGTTTGCTCCCAGGTCCTGTTGTTGAAGTGATTGATGAATTTTCTTGCATGGTTCCCTGAAAAAGGTTTGAATCCAATTAAAATACAAGTTAAATAATGATGTCAAAAATAAATTATCATAATATACAGAGCTATTTAGTATGTGGTCATTGGATCGCTAAAATTCAAGCTTTTTAACTTTCATTAATTCTAACTTTCATTTGAGTTTTTTTGATTTCTGACGAGCAAGCCAAAATCTCTACACACTTGTCGTGTCTCAACCATAATCATAATAGCGTTCCATCTTCTGCTTAGAACAAACCACAATGTCCTCTTAAGGTAGCGCATAAAGGTAGCGAATAAAGTACCTCCGTTAGAAACAACAAACCATATATGAATAATAACTTATTCTATGAAACTTCATGATATTTTAGGGGAAATATTATTGACCCATAGAAATGTTATTATCATTTATTTAATCAGTATTTTAACTCAAAGCAACACTGATTATTATTACTGATATTATTGACCCATAAAAATGTTATTATTATTTATTTAATCAGTATTTTATCTCAAAGCAACACTGAGTATTATTACTGATATTATTGACCCATAGAAATCTTATTATTATTTATTTAATCAGTATTTTATCTCAAAGCAACACTGATTATTATTACTGATATTATTGACCCATAGAAATCTTATTATTATTTATTTAATCAGTATTTTATCTCAAAGCAACACTGAGTATTTACGCAATGACGAATTCGGTACAACATTCTTTATTAGAATATTTGGTATTCATTAGAAATATTCAAATTATTTTATTAAAAAAAATTTGTCACCACTTATTGCGGCACATGTACCGTAAATACTGTATTCAACGACAATGAAAAAAATTGTCTTGATTAACACATTACGCTGCACCAAGTAATTATCTAATTCATGAAACAATGAACAATGTGATATCGTTACCGCTGACCATGCATAAACGGTCAACGTATAGTAGATGCTTGAAATAGGATGAGCAAAATATTTACTCAACGACGTCTGACAAAGGGTGGCGAGCTACTCGCAAATATGGAATTCGTTCAACAGCGTTTCGCTATGATCGACACACAATTTTAGATTGCACAATTTTTAGTTCTTCAAGCCCCTAACTGTGCCGTGAATTGTACTATTTGCACACCGTTTTGATTCCACAATAATCATGCCCATTGTTTCAAAAATCATGGCTGCGCCCCTATCCATGCAAACATCTTTCCAAAGCGAAAGAGTTTATAGACACATGGCAAAGGATTTTTTTTCCATCTTTGTTTTCATACTTTTCGAAAACACATGGTGAAGTCATTAGCAAAAGTTTTGTGTGTTGCAATCTTGCGAATAAACGTGACCTTGATAAATCAACATTTGAGGGATTTATTGTTGAAACAAAACAAGAAAAGAAACTTTTTTTTGACGCTCAATTTTCACTACCACTTCATGAGAGCTACCACTACTGTGAGAGAATTTTATAAAATACACTGGGCAATTGACTTTAATTAATACGCGAGGAATTGTTGGTGATATACAGATTCTGCTGATTCAAAAAGTAAGTTGTGAGCGATTCAATAATGTATTAATTATCAAGAACTGCAAGTTTATTAAAACAAAAAATATTAAGCTTCGACAAGCCTCGCTCAAGTATTTGTCCGGTGTCATTATAAAAATGAATGTTTACATCGAATAACAAGTAGAATTGGCAGTTCTCAAATCAATATGTCCAGTTATTATTTGAAAACCATTATTACACAAAAAGTAACCGACAGTCCAACATCATATACAAGAAAAGTACTTTACCTTTACGAGTGGCTCTCCGTACAAGTTGTAGGAGTAGGACACCTAAAAAAAATACGCAAATTATTTTCTAATGTAATGAGAGTTTGTATTCGCTAGTATGAAGAGAAAACAAGTACTGGAAGAATTTTTTTCTTGCCATAGATCACCCCTTGGAATTAACAGGGATTTACTAGATAAGGTTTTAAAAGTAATATTTTATTTCAAGCTCGAATAACTCCATTTTCAAAAAATAAATAACAATTTTGATAATTATGACATCAACAACATTTCAATCAGATTTTATATGACAAGTGACTCTGGAAGTTAAAATAATAGAAAGTGTGCTCATTTCGACTAACTGCTCTATTAATTTTCTCTTCAAAAAAGCAATGCTTGAATATGAGAAACACAAAAGTCGAATGTCATATTTAAAAATTCTCCTTTTTGTCAATTTTGTCACAACAACAGTTGAGACCTATAGGCCCAGTACACATCCGATAATTATCAATATACACACCTAATCGAGGCGGTGTCTCTTCATAGACTGGACAGGGTAAATCATTTGAAGCAAGTCTGGCATCAGCGAATTCATTTTTTCTTTGTGCTGTTGTTGCACCTGAAGTCATAAATATAAATTTCTATGAAAGTAGCATTAATTTTTTTCAAAAGACCATCGCTTGCCTGAGATGGGCACAATGCTTTTCCTTGGCGCACAGCCAGTTTACAATGGACCTTACCCTTATGACCATACCTAGCCTGGTCTGCGTATAAACCTTTTTCTCAATGCATAGCTTGCTTAGTAGAAACAAAACTTTTCTTGGCATACAGCAATTTAGAAATGGTTATGAACTTTATCAAAGCGGTGTGGCCAGATTAGGATGGGCTTTAGCCTCATGACCATAGCATGCCTGGGATGAGAAGAACCTTTTTTCTTGGGGTTTAGTAGGAACAAAACCATAAACTAAGGCATGCAGCTTGTTTAGAAAAAAGACATAATAATTTTAAAGGGCATAACCACTTTAGGATGGACCTTAGGACCAAAGCTTGCCTGGGACGACGAAACCTTTTTCATCGGGCATGATTACACTTGGAAACGAAATTAGTCTTGGAGTTAGTCAAACCTGTCAGTACTCATACGATATTAATTGGAATCATGATTTCTGAGGGAAACTCGAAAAGCACAGGCTGGCATTTTCAGAAGACACTAACAGAAAGTTTTTGCCACCGGGACATTGGTTCCCAATAATTGGAGCTAGTGTCAGAGTAAAAATTTATCAATACAGAGTTAATATATTTGTCAACCAGGAGTCAAAACCAATTTTATTTCTGAATGAATCATATTATATTTCAAAATCTTGACTGGTCATTTAATTTGTTCAAATTAAATTGTTTATTTACCATCACGTGATCTTTCCCCGACGATAATGACGCTGTCACGAATAATTGTCGTTGCTCCTTCTCCCTTGGTTATCATTCCTTCACCTACAATATTAACAAGAGTATTCATCAGCATAACATAAAGTAAAAATTCCACTAACTGACAGTTATCTGGTCAGACTAAGCGAGATGTAACAATTAACAATGCTGCTACCTGCTATACATCGGACTTTAGAAAGCAAGTAAGTAAAAATGACTTAGAAATTTAAACAAACTTCAATGATAGTATAAAACTGAAATGACAAAGCTACCATTTGTGGTAATTTTTATTGTATTTGGTATTCAGACTTCGTTGCATATGTTTTACTGCCATCGACAATTTTCTGCGGAGTCATATAGGCATGCTTCTACCTGAGTCATGTTTTGTTGGTGCTTCATAATTTGTGAACTGCTTTGAGATGCTGCTAACGTTTAAGTGATTTAAAGCCTAGTATTTGTGGAACTCATGCATTCGCTTGCGAAGTAATGAACTTAAACTCAGGTTACAACACAATTTAGCACAATCAGACATAAATTTCAAGCTTTTACCTCCAATAATGTTAATGTTTGATTCTTTAATTTCTATATTCGTAGGTTTCTCTGTTTGTAATAATGATGCAGAACCTTAATAGAAGATAGATGTACACATAAGTAACAATTTATTGGTAGTAACTCATATTGAAAGATACGCAGACTAGATAGTTATGCCTAATCTATCAAATATCTTCTGTTCTAAGTTGAAGGATTATATCAAAAACAAACATTACGATCAAAAGTTGTAGTAAAGTAAAAATCAATCTAAGAAGAGGCGAAACAGTTTAGGTATTTGCCTTCGCAGTGACTACACGTAGCAATTGGGCGACGCAATGGCTTGGCGCAGGAGTGTGCAACCTTCAATACAGGAGGACCAGATACAAATAAGTGGGTGAAACTGCGAGCTGCACTTTCATTTAACATAGGCTTTCTAATAGTTGCAGGCACAAAAACTTTGGGGAACTCCCGTAGTATGTGAACCAAGATGGCAGACGTCGGAACCTAGTATGTGTAAAAGGGTAGGGTTAGGCCATAGTTTTAGGTACAAATACTGCGGGTGTCACTTAGCTAAGCCCCAAACTCGTAATAGAACTAAAATAAGTAAAATTAAAATAAAATTATGGCTTAACCCTAACCTGGTACACATACTACATTCCGGTGTACACCATCTTTGTTCACATACTACGGGAGTACCAAGCTTTAGATATGGATCTTATGACATATTTTTTCACTTCGTACAAGCTAGCTGTTAGGGCAATGTATTGTCATAGGCATAGATACCAAATTGGACTCAGGTATAGTCTTGGCAACACAAAGTGACTGGAATTACCAGATTGAACTGCAGTAAAAACTTGTTTTGCGTACAGCACGCCATTCAAAATTGGGATTCCCCTGCGTGCCGCACAATTCGTTCTTGTGGGCGGCAGGTTGCACATTCCTGGTTTAGCGATTGAAGCCCCATGCCCTCACCTAACCCAAGGTGTAATAAATTGGGGGGGAGAAATCAGGACCAGAAAGATTCCAGTCCTTACAAAAATAACATATCAGTGGCTGCTTGGTCGCCCCAGTAGTATGTGTACCGATATGGAGGTAACTAATTTTGTTCGCCTACTTTACATCAAGTTGTGTGAAGGGACGGAAGCCCATGGGCAGGGGGTGTATTCACTTGGCTAACACAGACAGTCCCCGAACTCGAAATAGAACAAACATAAGGAAAAATCTGATTAAATTATGGCCTAACCTGGTACACATACTACGGGAGTACCGCTACTTGTACATTGACTGTGTTCGGAGCAAAAGACACGAGTAAGCGTCGTATAAAAACATTCGAGACTTCAAACAAATGGGAATCAATGATTATATCAGGACAGATTATAAACAAACTCACCTGCCACAAGTAAATCTTGATTGCTGTATCCTAAGTCAATGTTGCGTCGTTCTCTGCTTTGTAAACGAGATGCAGAACCTGAATTGAAATGAAAATACTTTGTTGCAAGACATATAATCATCGCACAGAAACATATTGTGGAATACGTTGCCTATATCAAAGGTAGCCAAAGTTTCAAACTCCAGGCAATTTTTTTCAAAATTTACTTCGTCTACAATATCTAAAAAGAACAGTTGAAAAGTGAACTCCTAATTTGATATCTTGGCTTAGGATTATGATGTCACACAGTTGTCGTATTATCTTTCTGCTAATTTACCTCACATTTAAATTTATTTTAGCTATCACATTCACTCACACCTTTCAACCGACTAAACCTATCCTGTGAGAGACGAGGGGATACGATAATGGGTGCGTGCGATAGTTAAAGTGGTAAACTTGAAATTGGCAATTCTATATATAACACAAATGCTTAGTAAAGTGTTTCTCTTCAATTCTCTTTTACAAGAGCACTCAAAACAAGAAAAGAGAGCACTGCCACTAGGTGGCAGCAACTGAAAATAGGTCATTCTTAGTTTACGATTTGATTGATTGAGTCGATACCAGGCTATTTTACTGTAGTTTTGAACAGTAAATGTTTGAGAAGGAGGCTTTGTTATTGAATAATGACTCATAAGCAGGTTTAAAAGTAAAGGAAGTCCTCGAATTGGGGTTGCATTCATTATTTTGAAAAAAAACTCAGTTTCTATTTCTGTTCTGTGATTTATCATTGGCTGGTAACAGTGGAATATTCATGTATGGGTGATGTGAACGGCAAAGCACTTTGAAACACTGTTAGAAAACATGTGGCTGAATATTGTGGGGGTTGTTTAGAGGGGAAAAACCTCGATATTTGTTAAAAAGGTATAAAGCCTGTTTAGGAGAACATGACATATTTAGTGAGAGTTATGTATAGTAGGTCCAGGAAGTAGATAACTTTTTAACCAGGCTAACTAATCGCAAAGTTTTTACCGTGTAACCCCTTTTACACTTGGAAATGTTCGAATCGAAGTAAGCTAATTCAAAACCGTCAGAAACTACGTATAGATGTCAAAAAAGGGTGGCCGATCAAGAATAAAAGAAGAGCTAAAACAAAGTTTCACATTGTCCCGATGAAAGAAACATCATACACAACTGTCCAAAGCTCCAGGTATTTTCAAAATTGCTAAGGGGGTCATAACATATTTATTATGGTCATAAGGCGTGTATAAAGGATAAAAATATATTTGACTTTCCATAAAGACCTTTAATAAGACAAGCATGGCGATTTAATCTGAGTTTCAGGAGCCGTTTTTACACAGCTAATGCCCAAATGAATTGCTGTTTGTATGAATTCTGGATGAATGCTTGTAATTTATTTATTCATATAAAAATACTTAATATCGTCCTTGACTCTCACCTGATGTTGACGGCATTTCCTCTTGCATATTCCCAGCAGACCCTGCATCAGCTTGTACTTGAGGTTGTTGTGCGACTGGAGGTGGAGCAGCTAGAAATAATTAGTTGGTAAGTTTTAAAGGAAGGCGTAAAACTTCTAATAAGGATTTCATTCACTTTAAAACTGTGAAATCTAAAATAATAAGATGTTAACCAAACATTTATTTCTTCCTGCCATGTCACGAAGTCAAACAAATTACCTTCAAAATGAAACAGTTGTTACCAAATTGCCAGAGAAAGTAAAATAAACATACCATTATTGTCATAATGCAAATGGAGGTGCTGAATATTGCCTGCGTGAATTACTTCTGCCTGAGCTTGCTGAATGTTATCGACTTGAATCACTTCGCCATGAACTTGATTAATATTCGAGCCTGAAAAAAGTCAAATCAATCTTCATTCATTGAAAATTATAGTTTGAATCCTAAATATCCACTTATATATTATGAAATCGGGTTTCCTGCCAGAAATATATCTTGGTACTCCTGAAGTATGTAAAACAAGATGGCGGACATCGGAATGTAATATGTGTACTAGGTTAGGCCATAATTTTAGGTATAAATACTCCGGGAGGCTCTTGGCTAGTCTTCGAACTGATAATAGGACTAAAATAAGGAAAATGGGAAAAAAATTATTGCCTAACCCTAACTTGTTACCCATGTTACGTTCTGATGTCCGCCATCTTGGTTCGCATACTTCGGGAGCACCTATATCTTGGTACTCCTGAAGTATGTAAAACAAGATGGCGGACACCGGAACGTAGTATGTGTACCAGGTTAGAGTTGGGCCATAGTTTTATTCTTTTCATTATTTTAATTTTAGTTCGGGTACTAGCCAAGTGACTCCCGTACTATTTGAACCTAAAATTATGGCCTAACCCTAACCTGGTACACATACTATGTTCCGGTGTCCACCATCTTGGTACGCATACTTCAGGAGTACCCATATTTTATGTGAACATTCCTGATTCAAAATATAATTTTCAATGAAACTGAAATTTTATTTCAATAAAGTTCCTGCAGAGCACAATGAACGTAGTGAATTTAAATCGGACTTCAAGGCATTTAGCATCTGTCACTGCGATTCAATAATTCCCAATAATTATCATGCACAAGTTGCAAAGTTCCTCACAATATCATTTTTTTTTTCAAATTTGTAGACACCGAATGATACTAAAATAACTTGAATGAAATCTCACCCTGGATGTTCACAATATTAGCTCCCTCTTGCTGTTGACCTTGATCTGCCATTCTTGAGATTAAAGAAACCACCTGATGAAAAAACAATAGAATCAATAGAAACAATAGAACAACATATAGAATTTTCTGGCTATTGAGTTGCTTTTATGGGCCCGATTCACTAAACACACCATATTCAAAGATTATATCAACGTTCCAGTTAATGGGTCGTTCAAAATGATTGCTGCTATCTTTTTATTAACGCTAAATTACAGCTTTATTCTTCAGAATATGAACATTATGAGGCACATTGGTGCTTAACTGACCAACAGAAAAAGAATTTTATCGTCCAGTTATATTGAAGGGTTAAAAAAATACTGGACAATGTTCACAACACAATGTACCGTAAGTACTTCTAGTTGGCGTAGCACAACCATTTTTGCATATGCTATTCCTAGCCGCCACCTGACTATGCCATTCAAAAATTACGTCACTACGATGCCACAGTAACATAATGAGGCCGTCCAAACTATACGCACAGACAATCACCTGAAATTGAGCAAGTTATTTCTCATGCTTTCTAGCCGTAACGTTCCCCATTAGAGAGAGATGGCTGGCATTAGTGAGTTCATTATCTTCGATGCTTATGCCTTTTCGTGTCTTTACTTTGCTAAGTTTTTTGACATGATTGTTAGGTCGTAAAGACGTAATCTTTGGATGACAGAGCCAGGTGGGGGTTAGGAATAACATAAGCAAAAATGGTTGTGCCATGCCAAATAGAAGTACTTGCGTCGTGTATTGAAAATATTTCTGTTATTTTTTTTTTTATTGGGTTGACCCACTATTCGGAAAATGCAGCAATAACATACTTATATTTTTGTTGCGTATTTACAGATGGTGTTATTCACATTGTTCAAATGAGGTTTTGAAATCTTGATGTAATTATTAAGCTCTATATGTTTCATTCTGCTTTGAGAACAAAGAGTCAATTTCCCAGAAATACTTGTGGTATTACCCATTAAGCATTTTGAGACACATACAGATTATTGTGGTTAATCTTACCTCATCTTCCCATAAATAAGGGTGGTTTTGATCTCTGGCAAATTATTCCAGTATCCCCCTCATCTTTCATTGGGCAGTTATATCAAAACAATGTGAACATACTGTTGACAACTATTTCTATTTTTTAAATTATATTAACTAATCTTCCAATATCTAAATATTTAAAAAAAAATGTAGTTACAAGTTAATCTTGGTAAATACATGTAAACCATTATTATTATGATTCTAGAGATTCAAGCAAAAATATAAATCACAAAAACATAATAAGAAATGCTGCAAGGCCTTGCATATCAGTCTGTCAGTGGATATTCCTAATAGTAATAAAAACTATAGTGAATTTCTCAGAAATATGACGAAAATATTACACAAGAACTTGGGAGGCTTCATCTAATGACTTCTAACAACGCAGTGTGACCTCATTAGAAGTGAGCGAATTAACCGAAGTGAGGTTGACGTAACTTTTGACGCAGCATGAAATCTCAATATTTTTACAAAATTTGAAAATCTGATTTTAGGTTTTACTCGAATCTTGTACGACAATCTAACGTCAGCGATCTCTCTGGGATTGTTGCGACAAGAAAACCGATATTGGGGGCAATGGGGGGCTACAATGCAAGTGCAGTTTCAAGTATTCTGTGGCGTCTGCAGCTGCCCAACACTATGGCGGTATTTCCATACCCTAGCCGCTACGGCCAAACCTATGGCGACTGACTTTTTAGCTGCCACAAATCAATGACGAGCAGCCATTACCGCGGCAGCAAATTGAAAACCAATGGGAGGTAAAATTTTGCTGACGTAACCACGGCAGGTGAGCTGTAAAGATAGGGCTGTCCCTTATGGTGATAAATATTGGGTAAGTTGGAACGTTTTTCTTATGGATACAGTTTTGATGGATTTGGGGTTAGGGTTTAAGTAGATATAATTCCGAATGATCAATTATAATCAGGTACATTAATTTGTGAATATACCTTTATTACTGATTACTGAATAGCACTATAATTTAATCCATTTAATACTATATTTTGAATATTGTTATTGGGTTTACCTGTTGCACTTTGCGCGTTCAACATTCAATTTGACCATATTTATTTTTTTCATTATTTTTAAAAAAGTTATTACGCCCATTTTACCTTTTTTTCGAAATGCCTAAAAAGATGCCTACCGGTAAACAATATATTATTCTCAAATACTACTACTAGACTTATGTGCATTTCATTGGATATTCACCTAGGCTAATAATTGTGACTAATATTTTGATTTTCCGTATTTTTTTTCTTTGGTGATAATTCCCATTTCCTATATTTTTCGAAGCGTCTAAATAAATGCATAGCATATGTGGTGATCGAGAGCGTGCGCCTCCTTATAATACTACCTTTTAAATATTACCAATGAGTTTACTTGTTGCAATTTGCATTTTCAATATTTAATATTTTTAACTAAGTTGTTATGTTTTTAAAAGTTATTACGCCCATTTTACCCTTTTTCCAAAGTGCCTAAATAAGTGTCCAAAAAAGTGCCTATTTTCTAAGTGCCTACTTTTAGTCCGTCCCCAATGTCGCCCTATATGTTTAGTGTGCCATACCGGTACTGATAATAAGGACAATCAGTTTTTCAGTTTATTTTTTCGACTTCTGTTTTTTCAACAAATAATTAATTATGCAACCCGAAATAAGTTGGGAATAGATGTAGGCTACACATAACAGCGCTAGCTATTGTTATTATACCGGTACGGTGCTTTTTAGCAATTCAGTCAAGATATGAATTCTGTCGTTTGATTCAGATTCAGATTCAGATATTTATTTTTCGTCGTGCAAAAACATTGTACATTTAAACAAATGGTAAAAATTAAATAAATACATTGAAAGAAAGAGGTACAATATTTGGACTGCAATAGACGAGGGATCGCGAAAAGACTATCAAAAGTCATCATGTCAGCGACACCATTATAGAAGCAGATTAAGTCAAACAATACAGAAATAAATCAGCAAAAATAAATGAAACAATTTGGGAACTAAAATGTACGTGAGAACAGAAGATTCGATTAAATAGAAAAAAGCATTGACGAATTTAAACGACTCAACGCCAATGCTCCACCGAGCACGCCAACAACAAAGAATTGCTGACGTGCGTGACGCAGCATAATGTTGTTGACTACTTGGGGAATTCCTGCAGCAGCAGCAGTGGAACTACTAATATAACCAATGAATTATGATTAAGAAAAAGACATATTCAATTTATTTTGGATTGCAAAGAGCACATATATATTGGAAAATATTAAACGACATATGTGAACTACAATGGATGAAAGCATATTAAAGAAGCAATGACTATTAGAGGTAACTAAAGTTTTTGAATTTTGTCTTTGTTATAAGAGTTCATAATACAGTTATTTTGTGAAGTGACTTTCATAAGGAGCACATGCTATTAAATAATAAAATAGCAGTAATGGAAATCAATAAGGTGAAAGGATACCTAGCTTATTATAGAATCTTGAGCAAATAAAGGTAAGAAACACAAGTGCTTTGTGAGAGAAAGTCATGCTCTGTGAGCAGCACATACTATTGGAGTATACCACAGTATTGAAGAGCAAATAAAATAATAATAATACAAGGATAGTGATAGCATATCATGAGAATAATGACAAGATGAAGGTAACACCCATAATTTGAAAAAAGTGAGTTTCAAACAGTCTGAGATACATTTCAACTCTGCCAGCCTACTGACAGATATAAGAATCTAAGTAAAGAAATTTTAGTGCTTTTTTGAATGAATTATAAGTCTTAGAGCGAAGTGTGTCTTGGAGCGTATTCCAGAGTTTCACACCGATGAATTTAATAGAGCTTTGTGAACGATTGGTAGAAAAGCGAGGCACATGGTATGAGCTATTGGCAGCGGAACGAGTTGAATGAGAGTGAACACTCATCTGTTTGACAAAATAGTATTTAAAAGCCATAGGCAGTTTATTGTTTAGGTGTTGGTGCATGAGTTTCAGTATCTCGATTTTATAAATGTCTGACATTTTGATTATTTGATTCTTATGGTAAAGAGGATCTAATCTTGACATTGGTCCAGCATGGGTCAAAGCACGGATAGCCCTGTTCTGTAATACTTCAATCCGGTGTAACAAAGTTTTATTAGCTGATCCCCAAGCTATAATACCATATTGCAAATGAGATTGAAACAGAGCGAAGTATATCATGCGTAACGTAGACAAAGAAGTATAACGCCTAAGCCGATAAAGCATTCCTACCGCCTTGGCTAATTTAACAGCAGTGTTGGTTATTGAATGTCCCATTGCAGTTTGTTATCAATGTGGATGCCAAGATATTTGAATGAGCTAACGTTGTCAAGAATAGTTCCTTCAATCTCAATTTTCACAGATGTCTGTGATTTGGATTTACTTGGAGCAAACAACATAGTTTTTGATTTATTTACATTTAATGTTAATTTGTTTTGTTTCATCCAATTTGCTACTTTTCTTATTTCAGTGTTCACTCTGGACTGAAGCACATCCGGAGACTTGTCGCTATCTAGAAGATTGGAATCATCAGCAAATAATTTTGTAAATATGAGGAGCTGTGTGCAAGATCGTTTGATGAAAATAAGGAATAATGTCGGGGCCAAGCATGAATCCTTGTGGGACTCCATGAGTCACATGTAAGGTGGGGGAACAGTATGAACCCATTTGAACAAATTGTGTTCTATTTGTCAGGTAATTTGCCAGGAGTTGGCTCGCTACTCCTCTAATTCCATAATGCCACAGCTTATAGACTAAGATTTGGTGATTAACAGTGTCAAAAGCTTTCTTAAGATCTAAGAAAGTTGCACTAAATATATTCTTTTTTCTCTAATTTATCGTATATATGGGATATAGTGTCTAGAATTGCATGCGAAGTGGAATGTTTGGCTTGAAAACCAAACTGTGATTTATTAAGTACACTATGTTTTGTGAAAAAATCCATTAGCCTCCTATTAATTAAGCGTTCGAATACCTTGTTAATAGCAGATAGAATAGATATGGGTCTATAATTTGATACATGTTTTGTATTACCAGATTTAAAGATCGGAATGACTCTGGCGATTTTCAATGAAGATGGGAAAATGCCTAATCGAAGCGAGCTGTTAAAGAACTCTGTCAGACATGGTGATAATATATCTGCAACATATCTGAGAAAGCGACTGGGAATGCCGTCTGCCCCAATTGCCTTCCCGACCCGCAGGGTAGCTAATTCTATAGTTAGTTCGTTCATCGTTGCTGGACTCAAGAATATGGATTGGTTTACTCGTTTGCCAAGGTAAATTTTGAAGCCATCCATGTCATTACCGAACTTTTCAGAAAGAGCGGAACCAACAGTAGAAAAATACTTATTAAATTCTTGCGCGATCAAATGATTATCATTTATAGTAATGCCATTTTCCAGATGAATTACATCAATATTTTGCCTAGATTTATTTTTTGTGGATGCAATTTCATTAACAATTCGCCATGTTGATTTCGGGTTTCCTTTATAGAAAGCAATACGGTTTTGATAATAGATTTGTTTAGCATTATCAATAGTGTGTTTCAGTACGTTGCGATACTTTTTAAAATAAGAGCATTGGGAACTATTGCCATTTAGATAATGTGACTTGAACATCTTATTTCTTATGCGAATACTATTGAGTATTCCTTTCGTAATCCATGGCTTTAGCTTTATTCTTTTTTTACGGCGCGACAAGGGTCGAAATGGGGCGTGATTATTGATTAGACCAACAAAAGATTGGGTGAATTCATCAAATATTGCGTTATAGTTTTGAGAATTCAAATATAATGAACGAAAGCGATTGTTTATCAAGTTTTGCGTATCTGAGCGAAACTCTTCAATGCAAAAAGCAGACATATCTCTCGTTATGATGAGATCATTTCTACTAAGTGGTTTGATGCCACTTATACAGCACATGATGGGATAATGATCTGTAATGTCTGATCTAATAACATAAGAATCTAATTTTTTATTTGTTATATTGGAATAAAAATGATCAATAAGTGTGGATGATGTTTGTGTGACTCTAGTTGGTTTGGTAATTAGTGAGATTGAATTGTGAGCAATTAGCATGTTAGAGTAGTTTGTAATTTGAGTGCTACTCGATGTTGCGAATAAATTTATATTAAAGTCGCCCATTATTATAAAGGGTTTACTTGTTAATTTTGTGAGACAGTTTTCAAATATGCTTGTAAAAGCAGGGATATCATTTTTAGGGTGTTTGTATATTATGCCAATACTCAAATTTTTATCCATATTAGCCAAGCTAATTTCTAACCAGAGATCTTCACAATTAGGATAATTTAAATGATATTCTGGGGACTCTGTAGATTTAACATCATCTCTGATGAAAACACCAACACCGCCAGATTTCGAGGCAGAAGTGACATGAAAAAATTTATACCCGTCGAGGCTTATAATTGCAGAATTTTTATGCAATTTCGTTTCGCTAATGGCTATAACATGGGGAGAAATAGAGAATTTGGACAATAGTATAGTAAGTTGGTCAATATTTTTTTGAATAGAGCGAATATTTACATGGATAATCGTTAAATCGGAATCAGATGAAATGTTACTCAAATCTGAAACTTCAATATTGCTACACAGGCAACTATTAAATTGTTCACAGTGTTTCAAACTGTTTTCACAAGTAGGATTATTTACTAATACATTATTACAATAACTCGACATTTACCTATTGAGAGTAAAATAGTAGTAATGGAAAAGGAAAAATTTACCATTAAGTATGAATTGATAACCTACTTTATCAAGAGTAGATCATCTTCAGTGATGATTGGAATCGTAGCTGTATCAGAGTTCTTTTTTATCAGAACTTTCCCATTGTTAGTCCAGAGAAACTTGTAGCCACAAGATTGTTTACGCTCTTTGGCCTTGAAAAACAAGTCTTTGTTGGAGTCAGACAGATTCTCAACAATGAAAAGTTTTGTTGCTCTGGGAAATTTTGGGAAGATGGTAGAAATATCCAGGGATTTTAGCTTGCGACGATTCGTTAGGATCTTATTTCTTGTTTTCCTGTTAATGAACTTAGCAATAATAGGTGATGGTTTCCTTGTGTTATATTTTGAAAGTCTGTGGCAATTTGATATGTCAATAGATTTAGGGGGACATCCAATTTGCTACAAATTTTAGATATTAAATTTTCACAGTTTTCGCCAACTGTGTAAGGGATGTTATGGAACTCTAGATTGTCTAGTCTGGAACGACGTTCTTGATCTTGTTGTCGTTCAGTTAATATATCGTTTTCTTCTTCGAGGTCTTGCACAAGATGTTCTAATTCTGCAACTCTTTTTCGAGTTTTGGTAGCCAACTTGTTGAGCTCATTTTGGTTAGAATTGAGTTCGTCGAATTTTTTTGAGACAAAATCTTGGCTCTTCTTGATTTCGTGGATTTCCTTTTTGATCTCACTGATGAATGTTACCTCGGATCTAATCTCATCAATTGACACTTTCAGTGATGTTAACGATTCTTCCACAGCGTTGTTATAGGTAAAAGACTGGGGAGTGTCAAGTGTAAATTTTTCAAGATGTTGCTCTATAATAGCTGGTATCTCAAGACGCAGAGTTTTGAGAATCGTACTTTCGAGTATAGAAACAAGGTTGCTGACATCATCAATCTCAATGGTGTTGGTCATTGTGGCGGTTGTGCATGTTTGTTTGTTGGTCGGACTTTTACGCCTGGGCGGCGCAGAAGGAACACTGCTGTTGTTTGGGGTGTCCATCCTCCTTTTCTTCCGTCACAATGCACAAATGAAGATATCAGTGAACATTGACAGGTGGATTACATCCAGTACAGTTTAGTTATGAATATTAAATTATGTTATGAAGTTCTATATTTATTCAACTTAATTATACAGCGAATAAGTTTCCGAAATTAGACAATTTGACGGCACAACAGCTATATTTATTATAGTAGAGTTGCACCAATCGTGATCGTAGAAATAATACTTTTGAATAAATTCTGATTTGCAGTTGACTATCAGTACTCCGCTCAGTCACTAACTCAAGATTTATACAGCACCGCCACCGCCCCTCGACAAAGTTCCCGTTTTCACACCTGTCTGACGTAATTCGTCACGTCTAATGTATTCATCCGCTCGCTGTAATAAATAGTTCACGCATTCCCCTTCACCCAATCATTGAAACATCTACTCGCAGTTTTATTTTTTGTTTTTCAGGTTACTTCAAAGTGATTAAATGAAGTAAAACACATAAGGAAAAAATCAAACAACGACTCCGATATCTTGTGAAATAACAATCTTATTCCTATATCCTTGTATGAAATTAATACCCAAGAATGAAAAACCTCACTCACACCCTTTGTAACCAATTTATTTCCATATCCTACTTAACTTAATTATAGTAATTTTACTGTTACCGGTAACTTTAATTACCTATTACAATCTGGAATATAATTTGACAATAATAGGCTCTAATTTGGGAAATGAAATGGTCTCGCCCACCTTCTGGCAACTTTGGTTGGGCAACTTGGCATTTGACTCCAACTATAATCAGCTTGGCAATATGTTTTCAATAGAATCTTCCTTTTATATTTTAAATAACGATTAGAAGATCGATCAATTTGGCAATGGCAACCATTACAAAATTATCAATATGGGTGTGGCAAATAATTTTTTCTTTTTCTAGTATTTATTTTATTTTTGTTACTGTATACTAGTATACCCTAAATTTAACGCGTTTTATTCTTACTTCAAATTACTTCTCAGTGGTTGGGTGTGTGTGTGTGTGTGGCTGGTGGGTGCATGTGAGCGTGTGTGAAATAACTTAATAATTTTAGGTGAGCAAACACGTACCACTTCCTCTTGACAAAACCTTCCATCTTATATTTTGTACGTTATAAACCTTATCTAAGGTTTCGTTTGCTACCCTGATTTCATAATCAGTTTTTATTTATTTGTTTTTATCTGTCAAATGTATTGTTATGCTGATTATGGAGTCGAAATAAACTTATACTTATTATACATCACAACAAAAAATCAGTGCGCCGTACATAGTGAAAAACAATTAAACGAACAAAAGTATATGACGAAGTCCACAGCTCTGTGACATCACAAGCCGGACGGCTTCTAATAACTAGCTAACCGGGCGAGGGGCCGCGGTTCGCCATATGATAGGGCAGTCTTATCGGCTTTCCTCTCCCCCGGGATAAATATTTAAATCCTATTCTATCGAATGGGGCAGCGTGATTGAAACAGAAAATGTCTACAGCATGATTGCGAAGCACCAAAAAGTAAGTGTATTTGCAAATTGAAACATTTTTTGTATTATCAAGCTATGAGTCATACAACCGATTTTTTTCGCGGACTAGGATTTGTATCTTTTCAGCGAAAGGCAGTACATGTGAGCGGGAATCTGCAAATAAGCATTTTTAGTCAAATTCTAAATGATAGCTGGGTATCCTGAGTAATTTTTAGTCAAAAAATTAATTAGACCGCGCAATTATATTAAATACGATAACACCTTCGGATAGTGGCGCGGCCACTGAAGATTGAAAAAGTCGCTAATAACGAGTGCAATTGCATTTTTCTTAAATTCCCGATCGTTTTTGTGAACGTGGCGTGTTCTTTGGGCCATGAGGTGTACAACCTTTATAACAGGAGGGCCAGATACAATAAGTGGGTGAAGCTTCGGGCCGCACCTAGACACTCTACCTACGAAAGTCTCTGAATACGAAATATTGTCGTTTTCTTCTGTATTTCTCTGTTTATTCTTCCTCTTTCCAGTTGTACCTTTTCTATTTATTATGCGGTAATCTAAATCTAAAATTTATTTGTTACGGGTTTAACTATTATCATTATGTCCGGGTTTTGTTGGGCTCAGAACGAATTAAAGCATTTACCGGTAAAATGTGTTCCTACTTGCGGAATTTTCTACTTATGAATGGGGATTCCGGACGAATTATTTTCGTAGGTAGAGTTTCTACTGTAGTTGCAAAAATTGTTTGTTTTTGTTATTGATCTTACGGCATTGTTAGGGTTCCTTGCAGAAATGTTGAGTTCAAACGCATAAAGTTCTAAAGAAAACTGCTATTCAAATTTATTGTCACACCGAGAAACACGCTTTTATGACATCGTGTATTTTCCAACAGGATTTTGCTAGCTAGTTTTGCTGATGTGTCAGCAGCACTCAGTTATATAGACTTCACGACGCTAAGAGATTGAAATTGCTCGCACGCACCAGATTTACTGAAAATCGTTTCGCGGGCACACCAATCAAACTGAGCACTTCTACGCGGGTCGCACAAATTTTCTTAGCGGACCGCAGTTTGCTCACCCCTGATTTAGGCCGTAAACACTTCCACGTCAGTGTTTATTCTCCCTAAATACCCCACAACATAAATATGTCTTTGGCTTCGACAACGTTGATAATTCCTTTTTTCACTCGCACAGAACTGGATACTCCTGAAGTATACGTACCAAGATGACGGACACCGGAACTCTAGTATGTGTACCAGGATCGGGTTGGGCTATAATTTTAGGTAATAATACTACGGGATTCACTTGGCTAGTCCCCGAACTAGTAATAGAACTAAAATAAAATAGGGAAAATTGGAATATAATTGTAGCCTAACCCCCAACCTGGTAAATTACTGTAGGCCCGCGACAGGTTGTACTGGGTTGTAGTAGGCCTGCGACAGATAAAAAACGCTTCTGAATGCATTGTGAATTGTAAAATTTCGTGTAACTACGACACACATTACATTTGGTTTGTCTTGGAAACCACTGCAATCATTGTCATTGTGCGCGGGATTTATCAATTCCTTTAATTGCCGCCTGTGGTTTTTGTTCTAACGTTATACAGGGTTGGAAACGCGACTTTTTCCCGGTTTGTGATGATATATAAGGTAATTAATCTAATTCTAATTTATATTCAATCAATTTTACTTAAGATTTTATAGCAGACTTAGGGAATTTTCTAACGATATTATCTTAAAAATAATCTGCAGCATTGCGATAGAGCGGAATCAGTG